AGCCTCCACATTTCCAAAGGCCCCACAGCATATGAAATCCCTGAAAACAATTTCATTCTTAGAAGAATTATGTATAGTATCTTCTGGTCCTACTGGAAAATTCAGACACTCAAGGTAATTCTTTCTCAGTAGGTCGATTTTTTTGTTCTCTGCTGCCAAGAACTGCCTAAACAACATGAAGAAAACTATTGAAAGCTCTCAAAGAAGTGGAAGGAAAACAATGCTCCAAATATGTTCTTCAGTACGTTGCTTGCAACGAAGCATTTACGTTTTAATTCCTTAATTTACGGGAGACTAGAAACAAAATACGAGTGCAATACATTTTGGTGACATGGCTGCTTCTCAGAACATTGTAGTCACTCCCTGATTTTTACTTGATTCTTCCTTCCTAAAAGCACACAGCACTTTTCTCAGTATCAAGGGTAAAAGACTGACTTCTTAACTTTCCCTCAGAACACTATAACCCAGCTCTTGCCATCTAAATGGAAAAATAATAGCTTTGGTTGGTCAGAAATCAGAGAATCTCTGGTTTTACACTGGCTTAACTGAGATTAGAATTTGATCTATTGAAGTGATTTGTTGAGACATGCTGTGTGAAAGAAAAAAAGCTCAACCAGATGAAGCTTTATAAGGCTGTTTGCTGATCACCAGCTGTTGGCCAGCCCACAGAGCCAACTACGAAAGTGAATGATACCATCTAGCGGCTGGTTCCCACCCTTGGGCGCATGTCTCGCACACTTCCACATACCTGTAAGCTCAAAAACTCCTGCTTGGCAAAGCTGTACTCGCAGCGGTACATTTGAAGAAGGTATCAGAGAGCAGACTGTCCCTGTCAGAGTGAAGGGAGACTGTTAAAGGTAAGGAAGGTATCTGGAAGGGAGGACCCAGCAATCTAAGCGCCCCGTGAACTGTTACCTTGTAACTAGCCGCACTGCTCCAAAGCTGTGCGGAAGGAACAGCCCCACAGCACCAGAGAAGAAGGGAGGAGTGGAAGGAGGACTCAGTCTCCAGCAGAGTTCATTCATCAAAGTCCTTTCCTCCCTACTCTGAGCTATCTGCCTTTTCCTACTATAGCTATTTTTACTAGAGCTGACCTTACAGCAACCCCCCCAAAAAAAGATTTTAGATTAAGAGATCGATATACAACATCTACCATTACAGTACCAAAATCAGATATTACCAGAGCTTTTATTCCACCATGGCAATTTTAAACTTTTTTTACTTGGTGGCTGCCACATTTTCCTCCTCTCACTCCCAAGTCTCACAGACCCCTGTCTCCTCAAAACTCCCCTGTAACCTCTCAACCTTTGGCCACTTCTGTCTCCTTGGTGTGAAGAAATCAGAAGACTTTGTCAGCTAAAATTTTGTGCTGCTTCTCCATCTTTGCCTCTTAGTATTTGGAAACTACTGGTCAAGAGCATAATCAGCAGTACGATGGAATGGCTAAACGATCAGGGATGTAAGTCCCAGGGATTGGGATCTTTGCTGGTTCTTTAATTAACTTTCTGTAAGATATCAGACAAGATGTATTTTCTGAACCTACTTTTTTCAGCAAATGGAATATATCTAAGGATAGGCTATGTCCTTATTTACTATTCTCCAGTTTCTGAAATTCTACTTAAAGAATAAGAATTGCACTTTTGGAATTGCTCAAGTATTTCCCTTTCAAGCCACAGATCATTTGCTTCCTCTAACACAGCAACAAAACCCATCGTAATAGCACTATCTGACATTAAAGTGAGATTCAGAAGATCCAAGTTTGCCACAGAAGTAGAATAAAACACAAGCCTGCTCTCACAGACATCAATGCCTTTCAACAGAAGCAGG